AATGCTAATAAGTAGGAGGGATAAATTACTATAGTTATAACCTATATATACTATATATAGAACTTATACCACCTCCCTAATAATTATAACTAGCCTAAATCGCGCCGCTATATATATTATATAGCTGGCAACTATAGTGCCTATACTCTAGTAAGTTGTTTTTTGGGGTCGCGCGCCTTATATATGCTTTAGCTAATTATTATAGGTACCTAATAAGCTTAATGGTTACTTAAATCGCCTCTACCAGCTCCATGATTACTACCTCGCCACTATTACTACTATCCCTACTGGCGCTGTTGCGCATAGGGCTAATACCAATATTTAGTATATAGGCTTGAAGTTTATACACTACTAGAAGTAATTTAACTTAGAGCTATATAATCGCAGGCACATTACAGCTCATTCTAGTACTCCTATAGGTATGGCCACTTAAGTCCCTATTAAATCTAGAAGGGTAGCTAGTCCTAAAGGGTTAGGGTTGGTTCTCGGGCAAGACAACTAAGGGAAGGGAAGGGGTTTATCAAGATAATAGTATTAGAGGAGATATAACGAGTTAATTATATGGCCTAAGTATAATCCAAATAATAGATTAATAAATAGGTTAAACATAAATATAAGAGCTCATACTTATATTTCTATATAGGATATCTACTCGGCGGTTTAGGGCTCCTAAGCAGCTAAGTAGGTCACATAACTACTATCTAAGTGGCTTGGCAGCTCTTTATCTCGTTGTAACCCTACCACTATATCCTTATACCCTTATAAGCGCCCGCTCCACCCTTCTACTTTCTAGTTTATAATATTATCCCCTCCCTTCTTATTCTTTGTCCCAAAGAATTATGCCTACTAATTATTATTCTACTAAGCGTTGTCATGACCTTATTTTTACCATTAAGAATTATAGTGCCATTATAGTATCTAAATATTCCTTCTATTAAGTGCACTCTCGTGTGTGTAAGGTCTATATTAGTTTAGGGAAGTGTAGTGAATGTTAGAGACAGGGGTCGAAATA